AAAATATACAAAACCCTCGGAAATGGTCCCCTGGTCCCACGGAGTGAAAGGACAACTTCCCTCTCTGAGCTGCAGAGCAGGAGTGAAATTAGAAACCACTCCCTGCCTCTTATCAGAGTGTGTGTGGGAAGGGGAGGGAATACAATGGTTCACCCCCACTCGGGGTCCTCCCAGTTGCTGGAAGGTCACGCCCCCATTCCAAGCCTCAAACCTCTGTTGTAAGAGGAAAGGGTCAGCGAGCTGGGGATGTTTAGCTTGGAGAAGAGGAGGCTGAGGGGGGATGTTTTTAAGGCTCATAAATATCTGAAGGGTGGGTGTCAGGAAGGTGGGGCCAGGCTCTTCTCAGTGGTGTCTGGTGACAGGACTAGGGGCAATGGCCACAAGCTGGTGAACAAGAGGTTCAACCTGAAGATAAGGAAGAACTTTTCTATGAGAGTTACAGAGCACTGGAACAGGCTGCCCAGGGGGGTGGTGGAGGCACCATCTCTGGAGACTTTTGAGGCTCACCTGCACCTGTTCCTGGGTGATGTACTCTAGGTGATCCTGCTCTGGCAGGGGGGTTGGACTAGGTTATCTTTTGAGGTCCCTTCCAACGCCTAACATTCTCATTCTGTGAATCTGTGAATCTGTGAAATGGAGCTAGCAAGGATGATGAATTGTTTCTCACCTTTAGGTGGTCTTTTGAGGCTTGAACTTATCTTGAAGGAGAACTGAGAAATACAGATGTTCCTACTTATGTTGTCCATGGCTTCCGACTTAAAAACCCTAACCTTTCCCCCCTCAATTTATTGTGAGACATTATGGTCATAATCAGACATGGTGAATAGATAACATTTTACCATGTATTTTGAACAGAAATCCTTTTCGGTCATCCAGTGATTGCACCTATTTGTGACTGATGGTTTTCTGTTTGGGATTAAGCAATGGTTGCTGTGTTTGGATATCCACATGCTTCTGTTGAGCTAACCAAAACACAAAATTTGAAGTTAATGCTGGCTTTTCACAGGCTCCATAGTACAGGAGAGTATCTAATTTAGCATAAGCTCTGCTGATACAAACTTAGTTCATCAACATTTTCTGCAAAGCTTGAATCATTAGGGTGAGTTTATAGCAACCAACACTTTCTGTCATTTTTGGTTTCTTACTAAAATAATAAAGGTTGGGTTTTCTGTACTCTTGAATCGCTGCCTTAGATCAACTATGAATTTATGCTGGTCTACTTTCTTCTCATACCTCTGACTCATACTGGTATATTTTGGATCAGATCAAGGAAGTGATTCAGATAAACTAATTCAGAAAAACAAAAGAGAATCATTTTGAATTTGCATTAGTTCCCTAATCAGGTTTGTTGTGTTACTGTAGTTTTGCCAAGCTAAAAGAAGTGTATTGACAGAAGGAACAAGCAGTCAAAGGTATTAAAGGAGAAAGGAGTACTTATTTCTGGGTTAGTACCAGCTATTTGATGATGTAAAATGGTCACATAACTGGGATCTTAGCGTTACACTGGATCCCAAGCAGTGCCAGTGGATACAGGTAAAAAGTGTGAGTGACATTTCTATATGCAATCATGAATTGATAATAAAAATAAGAAGAAAATGTCCTGATGGATCAAAAAGAGAAGTGATTTTTTACTTGCATTTTACTGAATTTCACTCTTTTTTTTTTTGTGAAAATTCTTGTAAAAGTAATATAGTGAAATGGTTTGTGTCCAAAAAAAAGGCATTCTTCTTTTTCATAGCGTCATAAAATGGTTTGAGCTGGAAGGAACCCTAAAGATCATCTGGTTCCAACTCCCATCCCATGGGCAAGGACACCTCCCACTACACCAGGTTGCATAACCTGGTCTTGAACACCTCCAGTGATGGAAAATCCACAACTTCCTTGGACAACAGTGTCTCGCCACCCTCTTGGTGAAGAGCTTCTTCCTTACATCCAATCTAAATCTACCTTCTTTCACTTTGAAACCATTATCCCTTTTCCTATAACTATAAGCTCTTGTAAAAAGTCCCTCCTCAGCTTTCTTGTAGGCCCCCTTCAGATACTGAAGTCTGCAGTAAAGTCTCCCTGGAGGCTTCTCTTCTTGAGGCTAACAACCCCAACTCTCTCAGCCTGTCCTCATAGGAGAGGTGTTCCAGCCCTCTGATATCTTCATGACCCTCCTCTGGGCCCACTCCAACAGGTCCATGTCCTTCTTCTGTTGGGGGCTCCAAAGCTGAATGCAGCACTCTAGGTAGGGTCTCACAAGAGTGAAGCAGAGAGAGAGAGAACCACCTCCCTCGACCTGCTGGCCACACTTCTTTTGATGCAGCCCAGGATACAGTTGGCTCTCTGGACTGCACCCACACATTGCTGATTCATGTTGAGCTTTTCATCAACCAGCATCCCTAAGCCTTTCTCCTTAGGACTGTTCTCCATCCATACTCATCCCAGCCTGTATTTGTGCTTGGGACTGCAAGCACCTTGCACCTGGCTTTGTTGAATGTTATGAGATTGGCATGGGCCTACCTCTCAAGCCTGTCAAAGACCCTCTGGATGGCTTCACTGCCCTCCAGTGTGTGGACTGCACCACACAGTTTGGTGTCATCCACAAACTTGCTGAGGGTGCACTCAATCCCACTGGCCACATCACCAACAAAGATGTTAAACCAGTCCCGGTACCAATCCCTGAGGAACACCACTCGTCACTGATCTCCACTTGGACATTGAGCTATTGACTGCAACTGTTTGAGTGCAATCATCCAGCCAATTCCTTATCCACTGTGTGGTCCATCAATCAAATCCATGGCTTTCCGATTTAGAGACCAGGATGTCATGCAGGACAGTGTAAAATGCTTTGCACAAGTCTGGGTAGATGACATCAGTTGTTCTTCCCTTACCCATTGATGCTCTAACTCCGTCACACAAGGCCATCAAATTGGTCAGGCACGATTTGCCCTTGGTGAATCCTTGTTGGTTTCCACCAGTCACCTCATTTTCCATGTGCTTTATCAGAATCTTCAGGAGGATCTGCTCCATGATCTTGTCAGGCACAGAGGTGAGACTGGACTGTAGCTTCCTGAATCTTCCTTTTTTCTTTTTTTTGAAAATGGGGACTATGTTTCCCCTTTTCCCATCAGTGGGAACTTCACCAGACTGCCATGACTTTTAAAATATGATGAAAGGTTAGCAACTTCATCTGCCAGTTCCCTCAGGACTCATGGATGGATCTCATTGCGTTCCATGGGCTTCTACACCTTCAGGTGCTTTAGATGGTCTTAAACCTGATCCTCACTTATGGTGAGAGTATCTTCCTTCTCCCAGTCCCTACTTTCATCTTGTGCCACTTGGGTGGTGTGGCTAGCGCTCTTGCCAGTGAAGACTGAGGCAAAGAAGTCATTGAATACCTCGGCCTTTTCTATACGCTCACGACGAGGTCTCCTGTTTCCTTTCAGAGAGATGTCACATCTCCTCTGGCCTTCCTTTTATCACTCCTGTCCTTCTAGAAGTTTTTCTTGTTACCCTTGATGTCCCTGGCCAGATTTAATTCTATCTGGGCTTCAGTAATCTGATAGCTGGCTGCTCGGACAACTTTTTTTATGCAATTCTCCTTTGTGTAAGTACCATTTTAATGCATATCCTCCACCTCTTTCCCCTCCTTTGTCTTGATTTTCTACAGTGTTTTCAAATTCATTGAAACATTATTTTTTTTAAGGTTATCACCAACCTTGGGCCTCTGGAATGGATTCTTAATACTCCCAGTCATCACAGAGTTCATCATGGTAAGCTAAAAGTGTAACCTCTTATTCCTCAGTGTGTTTTTTCTTATGGTCACTATTTGTATAATAATCATAAACTATTAAAACTGTACTGTAAGTTTAGTATTACAAAAGTTTTTTAATTTTGATCATTTCTTGGAAAATAGCCCTTGTTCAGTTAGAAATTTCACAGTATTTAGAAATCATTTTTATAACTTAAATTTAATGTTAAAATTTTTACACTTAAGATTAATTATTGAGCAGAAATTAAGCCTGGATAATGTGAAATAATTTGAAAAATTTGAGCAGAACAATTAATTGTTTGTGAATAGGAAGAGTGATAGAAAAATATTTCACCCTTCCCTGACTACTAAAACATCATCAACTTGTCACTTATTAAAATATGCTTTTGCATTGAAATTGAAGCACTGAATGTGTGAAAAGCCTTGGTCACCTTTTTGAAGAACTGTTAAACGTTTTATGTGCATTTGATTGCAGCTGTCTGAGTTATTTAAAAATCTCACTTCACACAAGTGCATAATGAATTCATCAATATTCTGAAGCATATAAGACCATACTGTATATGTAAATTGGCTGAATAACTCCACTGCATACTGAAATATGTCATGAACATTTCTGCAGAATAGAAGGATTTCATAGATGTCCTTGGCTCATTCACTGTGCAGAGATAACAAGTAAAAAGGTAATAGGGGAGTGGAAGAACAAAATAATTTGAAAAAGACTCAAATGCAGTTATATGTGCAGAGGATATTATTAATATTTATTATATCCTCTGTGTGTAAAGTGTTCATGATACTATATAGACTTTTCAAAAAGACTGTGGTGCTCTAATTTTAATCCTTAAAATTTGCACAGGTAGTGATAATCTTGGAGGGAGACACTCTGCTCTTGTTTTCTCTCCTGTAAATCCAAACTAATCCTCTGATCCTGATCATAGTTAAGCAGAATCACTCTGGAACTGAACAAGTGCTGTGCAGTTGCTCCAGACAATCTCCACAAACCTGGGGATATGTGATCAACATTTCTTTGCTCATATTTTTGATAGAACAACTGAAATACAAATACATTGCTTAGAAAACAGATAGAAAGATCAGTTTTTCTCCCATTGAAGCGAATAATAATGACATTTAGCACAGAAGATAGAGACAGTCGAAAGCCATTAATGAGGTGATTGTACATAAATATACATAATGTGTATCTTCTTACGTATAAACTGGTGGAATGAGTCTTTATTTGCTTTTTTATTTTTTGTTTATACAAATATGCTTTGAACTGAGTTTACTCTCTACATGAATATTTTTATTTCACAGAAAGTTTTGGATATGACACATTTGATTTCTGTGTTTGAATCTGAGTAGACAGAAAGCAATAACCCTATTAAGGAAAAAAAAAAATGTCATAGACTTATAAGTAGCAGTTGGTTATATACCTTTTAAAATTATTTTTAGATTATAAATTGATGCTAATTGTGAAGATGTACCTTCATAGACAGTTGCAGGTATTCTTATGTATGCGGTTACTGATCTTATAAATTATTTTTGTTATAGGTAGAAATCCTTACTGCATTGACAAAAATTATGGTGGCACACTCATTATCTGGGACAGGATATTTGGTATGTAAAAAAAGAAGGAAAAAAAAGGTGTTCTCTCTTATTTAGTTAGTGTGGCAAAAATATATATACTTTTGAACTTGCTTAATGATTGTGGTTTTGTTTTTTTTTTTTTTTTTCCCTTCTTCCATCAGGAACATTTGAGGCAGAAGATGCAAAAGTTGTGTATGGCTTAACACATCCAGTAAATTCATTTGATCCCATCATGCTCCAGGTGCTATAGTTTGTACCACCAACTCTGGTATCTTCAGCCCGCACTCGTGTTCAAAAGAAACTCCTCTCTTAGGCAAAGTTGAGGTCATCCATGCATTGCTGTACAGTCAAGAAAATTACCTAAAATTTCTGAAGTATTTCATTACAAAATTATTTCTACTTACGGCCTTGAGTATATGTGAAGCTTGTGCTCATATATACATGAGATAGATACATCCATTCCAGTCAAATACTGAGTAATTTAGTTATTGAGAGTATGTCATGTCAAGGCCCCAGTAAACAAAGTCTGGTTTAAAACTGCCATAAATATTGATAAAAAATATGCTGTTAGATGCTCTGGATTGATCACAGGAGGCACAGTTTTTTCCTCTGGGCAGAAGTCATCATAATCTTCACTATAAAAAAAGGGCTTGACATGGCTTCTGTCTATTTCAGTTGGGTTTGCTAAGCTTCTTACTGTCTTCATCTATTCCTAATTTACTCTCTTTAAACACTTTGAAAAATCATTTACTTGAGAGCTAAAAATGAACAAAATATACTGTTTTATTAAATCTTATTTTACTAACAATGAAATATTACTTGCTCTTTTTTTTAGTTACGTCCCTTGTCTCATATTTGGAAGATGTTTTGGGCCACACCTGGATTCTGCGATAAGCTTTCTGTCATCTTCAAAGGGCCAGGCTGGGGACCAGGCAAACCTAGACTTGGCCTTCCTGGGGAAATCCCAGTGGTAAATTGAACATGCACAGGCTTTCAGTTTTGTGTAATTTACTTGGACCTCTTAATGCTACTGGATCAATGTTAAGAACTCTACACATGCTATATTAAATTAGCAAAATAACAGTCATAAAATATAGGGGAAGATGAAATGAGAACAGAAACTGAAGAAAATTAATGTTTTAGCTGTGTCTTTTTCTTTTTATTTGAATGGATTTTTTTTAATTATTATTGATCTTTTCATTATTCATTTCCTAAAGAGATTTTCAAAATTGTTCTACAGAGTATGGTAATTTCTTTTTTTCTCTTAGCTGTGAACATACACACACAGAGTTAAACTCTGTCTCACACTAGGTGGTACATAACTTTGATAGTTGATTGTCCCTGTGCAATTATCTATGTCTCTTAATCTTTTTTTCTGTGTTTGTAAGTATAAAGAGTCCTGAGAAATAGCAGGCTGGAGTAGGTCACTGTTGAAGGCTATTTGTTTTGCCTCGTACAGGTCACTGGAGAAGAAGTTCCCTTCAATCCAAGCATACCAGGTTATCTTAATTGCTATGCAGTTGTACATTTTGCTATAATAGTGGATTTGTACACTGAACTTCTTGCTACCGTGACTGTAAGTAATTCCTATCTATGAAATAGTATCTCATGCTAACAGTAGTGTAACACACAATGTGTTTAAATAATAAAGCATTGAGTGGGTGCTCATATCTTATTTAGACTATTATAACTAGATTTAGTAAAAAGAATCAACATAAATGGCTACATATATAATTATATAATATTAAATATGTAGTGTTTGATGTTGTTTAGTAGTATTTAATAACTGTGCTAATTATTTACAGATAAATATGCTTAAGTTAAGCATTAAATTAAAAAATAATGTGTTCCATAGAAGACCTTTGTGTCTGCTTCAGTTTTTAAGGACCTTATGAGAGGAAAAATATATCTCGGACTTGAAAATACGTAGATTTTAAGGTGTCAAAGTTGGTAGTATTGTTAGATACCAGTAAGATACTAAGCCTTAAAATGAAGATTGCAAAGGTCTTGCAGGTGGGAAGCTTGGTGTTAGCATAAGTTCAGAGTTGGAGGAGCACAGACTCAGGGCAAATCCTTCATCCAATCTCAACCATACAACAGTATTGATAAAAATACAGCAAGGAAAGGCATGTATTTACCACCTCCTGTTTGGGCTGATAGGAGCTCTCTGGTAACATGATATTCCTGCACGGATACCTGGCAGTCTCTGAAGGTGAACAACGAGGCCATCTTCCCTACAAGAAACAAGACATTAACTGCTTCTGTGGCTTCAAAGCTTCCAAATTCTTTTTCATTCTTCCATATTTGACAATGCTTTCTACTTCAATAAAGATAAAATCTTCCAGTATGAAGCATAATTTTAATGCATCTAATTTTCCCCCAAATCAGTCAAAGACTTACCAAAACACCACAAAAGTCTGTCAGTTTGATAAACTGCCCTTTGGCCGCCTCCTTAAGTAGTTTCTGAGACCTTGGTTAAAGAGCAGTCTTGTAATGTGTCACCCATGTTGCCACAGGCCTGCTGTCAAGGTGCCAAGGGCACCTTGGGTTCTTCAGCCTCTGCTAACCTGTGGACCTACCTTATCCCAGCATGCTCACCTGATGATCACTGACCCTCAGCCAACAGTGGTTACTGTCTCCTGCCCACCTTGATGGATGCTACAGGACAGCATCTTTCCTGCTGGGGCCACAACCCTGTGCACTGGCTGCGACTGGTCTCCCACCCCTTCCGCAGGGAGCAGCCCTTCTGAATCCAGGGAAGAGGCAGAATTCTAGATATAAGTCTCTTCTGCATGTCTGACTGTGGTCATCCATGAAGGATTCCACAGGACTGCAAAGCCATTTCAGAACTGGCAGAAATCTTGTCCAAACATTGACATTGTGGTCTTCTTACTGAGACATTCCTCTTTAGTCTCAGGGCAAGATGGGCAGGAGGGGGACTGCCTGAAATAATTTCTTTGGATATGTGGTAGGAGGAATATAACAGCTCTGGCAGCTCCGCATTTATTAGCTGCTAAATCCCCTGTTTTGCACATTTTTTTGGTTAGATGTGTTCTTAGTAGCACATCAGTCCAGTTGCAATTTCTGAGAAAAGTTTAAAGAGTATTTTTTGTAGCATTCCCAGTTTAATATAAAAGCTACCTCAGGCATACACTTCTCATTAATATTGTTATTCTGTACATTGTATTCACATCTATAAAGGGTCACACTGCAACTGCAGGGAATTCGAAGATCACGAAACTATCTGAGGCTTAGTTTATTAGAAATAATTTCTGAGGACAGGAAATTAAGCCAAAGGTAAGGATAAGTACCTCCAATATATACAAGATGTACAGTGTACGTGATTGCCTTTTTATTGAGAAAAGCCTCTGTAAGATTTTCAGGATACAATTCTAGATTCCTACATGTGAGAAGCAAGTCATGTTTGCGTGGAGATCAAACTATGGGGGTTTTGTTTGATTGGGTTTTTGTTGTTGTTTTGTGGTTGTGGTTTTTTGTTTGTTTGTTTTGTTTTTTTTCTGTGGTGGTTTTGTTTTATTTTGCTGCTGTTGCTTTTAGCAGTAAGAAGCAAGGATTCTGCTCATGAGTTTTTTCCTATTTTATTCTTTTCTCTTTTTGACTTTTTCTGGTCCTGGAAGGAAAAATGGATGGTCCAGATTACTTTCTCTGCTGATAAATGCAGCTGTTTAAGCATAAGAAAAGTTGAAAAATGCACACAAGTCCTAGGTGATGATTAAATTCTCTCAGTCATGGAGGAAAAATTCCTGAAGATCCACCAGTTATGAACTTACTGTAGAAAAACAACTAGAAAATTCTCTGCACAAAACTGCAGGGCAATAAGGTAGTAAGGATAAGGAGAGCACAGGGGACTAAAAGCACCTCATCTCAGGACATAAACCTTCAGCGTGGGTGTAGAAAGTGCTGGTCCCAAGGCAGAGTTCCAGCATTGCTCTGCAGTACAGTGGGGAAGCTGTCATGAGAAGGAAGCTTGTGTATGAATAACTTTACTTGGCAAAATGTTTCCGTCAGTATCAGTTTTCCACTACACTGAGTTATGAAATGTCTGTGGATACAAATGGAACTTTCTGTCTAGCTATGAATTATGTCATAATTGTGGCATAGCTCCATAAATGGAGAAAGCTAACTGTTTTCCTCATTTTTAGGTATAAATTCCATTTCATAGTAGCCATAAGACACAGCACACAGCTATTACATTTCTCAAGTGATTACAGTTGCTCAGTGTTTGGTCTCACGCCCTGTAGAAGTGTTAAATTTCTCTATCCGTAAAGAGCAACCATATACCTTTGGTCTGAATGACCTATATTTAACTTAGAAAAAGAGAAAACCAAGAAAGTACAAATATATATTTTCCACAGAAGAGACCATACAGTGTTTATTTTCTATGTAGCGATCACACTACATCCAGAGAATAAAAATTACTTCTGAGCTCTGCACATCTAGATCTGATCCAAAGCTCATTGAAGAAGTGGGATTTGGATCAGTCCCAGAGAGAGTGCTAGGAGTGTAAAATTGCAGTACATTCAAAGCTAAGGTCTCATAGCTCCAGAACTGCACGTATCATAAATCAAAGTGAAATGTACCTTAAACACATTTTGCAGTGTCTTTTTCATTGTTGATAGATACTGTAACATTTACTGTGCTTATAATGCTATGAATATGCAAACAGTTTCAATTAGATGAAAAACAGTAAGTGGTACGATAGTTTTCTTGAAAGCTGAGAACACAATTAATATATCCATCCAGTAGGACATCACCAACTACTGTATATGGAATATTGCTAAGAATTTTCTAATTTTTTTTTAGGAATTCTAAATTAAAATGTATTCACAGAGACAAAGACACCTAACAATACAAATTTAATAGCATTGTATTAGCATCCGTCATTTGAATGTTCAAAGTGTCTGCTATGTGACCGCAGAGCATCTGTTAACTTATGAAACATGCTGATGTCATTCCTAGCAGTTGCTTTGAAACACTGAACGCATCAGGATGAGAAAATGCATGCATGCTGTTCTTTAAAAGGAATAAAACAATCTGACTTTTGTGAAATATAAAGTCAATTTATGTTATGACAATGCTCATCTAAATACACATTTGGAATAACGTATTTCCTTCACTGAAATGCATTCTATTTTCATTACTAAAAACCCATAAAGTAATACTGTTCTGCCATTCTGTGGATTACAAAACCATGTAAACTTTTACCGAAATTCTATGACGCTCCTGTTTTGTTTTGTCTTGTTTTTTTTTAAGGCTTCAAGATATTTTTAAAGCTTTCAATGAGATTAAAATCCAACAGAAATATTTTTTTCTGTTTGATTGCAACCAGTAACCACATTGCAAAGTGGTGGCTGACTTGTAATTGGGGAACCTGCTGTGGTCTGACAGACCTCTCTGTTTATACAAATACTCCAGTATATAAACACTCATTCATTTTGTGTATACATCCATGCATATGGAATGTGCAAGTGGAATGAGGATGCTACTATTAATGGAAGTGTAAAAGGCACATTCTTTTCATACTGCAGCTTGCAGTGTGTAGATTTAATATATGATGTTTAGTGATATAGCCCATTGACTATTTTGTTGAATTTGGTAGAGTAATGCCTAGAAAATAGATGCCTTGGCCGCCAGCATCCACTTCATAGGGTCCTACATGTTTGAAAGTAAACCAAAGACTTGAAACAGTATGTAACTATACCATTGGTGCTGTAAAGCAAAAGTTATGGAAGCAAACTAATATTGCTAAAATTTATGCTACATAGCTATTTTCCTAAAAGATATTGTTCCCAAGTGGCATCACAATTTATTTCACCACAGATTTCTTAGTAGCCCTTGACTAGGAGCACAAAATGAAGGAACACATTTTTTTTTTCTTCATTCTTCATGTAAGTGTAGTGTGTGTATCTACAGTGAAGGATAACTTACAGCATCTACCTTCACGGTTCCCAGTAAGGCTTTATGCCTCACCCTCCATCACTCCAGAAAGATGAAAACTTGGGAAGTGGAAGGCTGCAACACTGTACTCAGGCATTACATGGCCAGTGCCAGATTACAATTAACTGGTTGTGTTTTAGAGTCCTCCAGTCCTTCACATTTTCGGCCACAGACGGTATTGAACCGTGTGAAGTTTTACAAACAGGTAGTGTTCAAATTGTTATGGTTCAGGTAGCGTCTGAAGAGAAACTTAAATTGGCCTGAAAAACAGGATCTGTTTTATTTACTATCTGTTTTATAGACTAGCATATATTAAAACGTATTTCTAGTCCCTTTTTTTTTTTTTTTTGAAAGCTATGTTTAAAAAACCAATTTATTAATTTCATTTCAAGTTCTTATTCTGCTCTTTTTTCTTCTGTGGTTAGATAAATGCAGAGAGTCAAATGATAAATCCAGGCTCTAATTTTTCATATCTTAGAGAGAATGTGTAAGAGAAGTTTGCAGGGTCACACTCCACCTTCTTGTATTCAAGCATTTCTTTGTGGAGAGAAAGCTGCAGTCTGAATTACATTATTACAGTGTCTCTAATATCAAACATATTTGTTTCAAGATCCATCAATAACAATATAATAGGACAATGATAATAAGAAATTGTATTGTTTCCTGAAAATTTGTTAACTTTAGAAGAGTAATTTTTTCCCAATTTTTTCTAGAAATGGCTATTAAATTATTTTGCTAAAGAAAGAAAAAAAAATTAGAGAGATTATGAGAAAAAACACCACTAAATGGACCCAAAAGTGTCTGCTTTGGAGACGTGTTTCCATCATCCACTCAAATCCATCTCTTAGTGCAGAAACCAAATTTAGCCTTGACTTGCAGTCTAGCTAATGGGAAAAAAATAGAAACATTCAGAAAGTGCTTTCTCTCCACTGATTACACAGAAAGCTTAGGTTAATAACAGATTTTCAGGTACTTCAGTAAAGGTACTTGAAGTTAGAATGCATCATCACCTCAGTTTTCTGAAACTGGAATCACAAGGAAACTCAGATGCCTAAGACCTGGGCCTGGTTGTGTAATGCTAGCCAGCTCAGAAACACTAGGAGGGCTGAAAAGTGTGGAATCATGCAGTTCTCTTAAACTGGAAACTAAAGACACCTTTGATCGTTCCTAGCAGGTACAGCCAGATCCTTCCTGAAGACAAATATTAAAAGTAGTTGTCTCAAAACCATTGCAGGTTCATTCATTTTCCATAAAGTGTGATTTTAGCCATATATTGTAATGTAGCAATTACATGACTTGATTGAAATTTGGCTTTGATGTGCAGTTCTCTTTCCTGCCTAAGGGAGATGCAAACCCTTATGTTTCTTCCTACCACTGTGGGAATATTTTTTAAGGCAGCCTGTGGAAGCTAGTGCATTGCACTGGAAATGCAAAGTGAAATCAGACCCAAATGTCCAGAAGCGCTAGGTTTAAAAAAAGGTGTAATGCTCAAACTTAAAAGTGAGAACAATGTCTAAGGAGGAAAGTCTTGAATTCCAATCCTAGTTCCCTGGCAAACTGCTTTATTTGACAGGTACAATCACTGAAAAATATATCAAAGCATTTTTAAGAAATTTATAGGTGAATTCTCTTATGCCTGTACCAAATCACGTTTTTCTTTGCTCACTTCTTGAATTTTTGGATGACCCAGTTTCTACAGGAAGCTGAAGTTGGAGTTGAACTTACTGTGGCTAGATGAGCTGTTTAAGAAATACTCATTTTAAGCTTAGTCTCTGACATTTTTTTTAAAAAAGCTCTGTCCAAAAATTTTGTCACTTCAAGAAAAATTGCTTCATGTTAAACAGTGGAAAATCCTTTTATACTTAGGAGAGCTGTGAGATTTTCAGATTCAAGCAACTGAATTTTTCAGAAAGAGCATCCACAATTTAATCTTTTATTGACCAATTTTAAAACTTGTACCTGGAATTCACAAATGTACTCCAAGTGATACAAATATTGATAAAGTATTATAAACCCATTAGAATATTGTTTTGCTTTCTTGACTTAAGTGGGGGTCTTAACACATAACTGCTATATTGAGCCCCCTGGGGGTACCATATCTAGCTCAATAACCTGTCTCCTGTAATGGCCGATGGCAGATGCCTAGAGTGAGTGTAAGAGGAGTGTAAAGAATATCCTTTCTCAGGGTCTACCTATAAACAGATGGTGGTGGTAATCACCCATCTGAGATTTTGTAAGTTTATCATAAGGAGAAATGGAACTACTAGCAATGCAGCAATGAGTTTGATCTATCCTGCTTTAAATCTGTGCAACAGAGTGGCTTGACAGGTGTCATTTGTGAGAAGCATGTTCTGGTTTGTAAACTTGTGAGGCTGGTGTTTACTCCTCTCATTGCTAGGATTGTGTTTTTGTTGTTCAATAACTGTTTGTTAAGGATATCTAAGAAGTTGTTTGTGATTCTTCAGTAAAATGTCAGAAATCAGCCCAGCTTGAGTGTGTTTTGATGTGTTTTGCAAACATGGGCTCTGTAAGTTCACACAGCTGTAAAACTTGAGAATATCCTCCTGTGGCCTCCCACGCTCACAGATAGTTATCTTGGATCTCCTCAAGGGGTAGGGGCCACCACTTGAAGGAAGGTGGGCGTGTCACTGAGTGACAGTTGGGTGAGTTTATTGAAATCAGGGCAGACAGTCATAGATTTTTACTTTTCTAGTGTCTGCAATCCTGAAGTGCAAGATTCTGTATTGCTAATGAAGCCAGAAAGGATTCCTGTAACTCATCCAGATCCACTACTTTTGTTTTGAGTTCTTTTTACTGTTTGAAATGAAAAAAAGTCTTCTGAAAACTAATATTTGAAAGGAGGTCGGGGAGGGAATGAATTTCAAAGGCAGCTATGTGGAATACAAAAAATATTTATTAAATGAAAAGAAAAAAAATCAGAACTCACAATGAAAATAGTACTGTTTTCTTAAGTTTTATCTATATAATTTCCATGTAAATTTTAAGGATATAAATCCTCATGCTGCTTCATCCAGACACTAACACACATATTAATGTTTAGAAGTGGTTTAAGTCTGATAGAAGTTAATGGTATGAGTTGGACAAGTTTTGCTGAATTGGGAACCAATGTTGGGTTAATGCAGGGACATTAATTTTGCTTCTTCTTAAATATGGTCATATTGTGTCATGTGATTTCTTTTTCTCACCAATATATTGGTTTTGGTATCCGCTGGGGTTCATAGATGACTATTGTAAAGACCTGGTAACATAAGATGAAGAAAAAGAACAAGGCTGCTGGGATTTTTTTTAGACATAATTTGTTCCCTCTTGGGTAAATGCATAAGGGAATTGAGTAACCTCAGGAAGACACCTCATGCAGAAGGGAATCTCTTACCTGTTTTGGAAATACAGCATTCATGAAACAACTTAAAAGGTGGTTTCTCCAGATAAGTGTGCTATCTAGAGTAGATATTTTTGTTGTAAAATTTGAAGTAACAAATTACTTTAAAAGCAGTTATTTACCATTCTGTTAAAATTCAATTTCTTTTCATAAAGTTACTGTAAAAGAATTTTTTTCCACTTTTTAACAGACGTTATCACAGGGAACTATTCTCCTGAGAATTTGCTTTATCATTTTGTCCCTAACCTCTTTCGGACTACTTATGGAGAACAGGTAAGACGCAAAGGATGGTTTCACCCACCCCACCCCTGTCTCATTATGCATTATTTATCATTATATGGGAATCTCAGGTGTGTCAGAAATTAGATTGGTAATTAAATATAGATACACTCAGACACATTGCTATGTTTTGACTTGGAAATAACATGTGACTTGATAGCAGCTTAACCTGGGAGTGTTCTCACAGCAAGTACTGGCTATAGTTATATTGTCCCTTGCAGAAAAGTTACAGGAACAGCTACTGATTTCACCCTCTGTGCTTGCATTTGTTGGATCTGCATCTCTGACTTTGAGACACTGGCAGGCCAGTGAGTTCTGCAGACTGTCCCAAGGGTTTTCAAGTTCAGATTGCCACCATAGTATGTCAGTCCTGTGTAGCATGTCACAGGTGCCAGATACAGTGATGGTGTTTAAAAAGCACACAGTCTAGCTCAGGGTCATAGAATCATAGAATGATAGAATCATTTAGGTTGGAAGGGACCTCCAAGATCATCAAGTCCAACCATTGAGCCATTAGGGCTCTAAAGTCCTCTGCCAAAACAGATCAGAATCTGTCAGGGTTGGAAGGGACCACAAGGATCACCCAGTTCCAACCCCTCTGCCATGAGCAGGGACACCTCCCACTAGATCAGGCTGCCCAGAGCCTCATCCAGCCTGGCCTTAAAGACCCCCAGGGATGGGGCCTCAACCACCACCCTGGGCAACCCATTGCAGGGTCTCACCTCTCTCATGGTGAAGAACTTCTTCCTCACATCCAGCCTGAATCTGCCCACTTCCAGCTTTGCCCCATTCCCTCTAGTTCTGTTGTTACTTGAGATCCTAAAAAGTCCCTCCCCAGCTTTCTTGTAGGCCCCCCTAAGATACTGGAAGGCCACAATAAGGTCACCTTGGAGCCTTCTCTTCTCCAGACTGAACAGCCCCAACTCTCTCAGTCTGTCCTCGTAGGAGAGCTGCTCCAGCCCTCGGATCATTCTGGTGGCCCTTCTCTGGACACACTCCAGCAGGTCCACGTCCCTCTTGTAATGGGGGCTCCAGAACTGGATGCAGTACTCCAGGTGGGGTCTTGTCAAAACCATGTGAAGGATGGTGTAGACTTAAGAATAATTTGATCAGTATGGGTTGAAATAAAATTGGATCCTGAGTACACCATCCCAGTGTGACATACGCTACAGAAGTAGTCCATATGGGCATCATGACCCTACAAAATAGTATATAACAACTACATTTTCTTACAGAGAAACTATTTGTCCTTCCAGAGCAGAAATGTGGAATATGAAACTTCCTTTGAGATTGAAGTGCCAGTTCTTCTTTGCACTTGCTCTTCATTCTGTTTTCAGAAAGGAATAGCTTTCACTTAAATAGACTGAACAAGTTTATTTCAAGATAGGTAAAAATCTGTCAATATGAGATGTCTATAATCTAGGGAGTTAATAGTGTGAATTAGTAAAAATTTACAGAAATAGACCAAGGAAAAAATTCTGAGCTACTCATGCAGCAGTTGTCAGAATTTTGCTATTGTCATTTTGAGGTCAAAAGACAATACCTATATATACATCTACATCTGTGTGACCTTATATATAATTCGTGAGTATGTGTATTCTCACACCCAGCAAATTCAGTCTTACATGTAAGGTGTAGTCTACACCTTGTAAGGTGTAGACTCTAAAAAAGTTATCTACTAGGTCAAGAATGATGGCGGTGTAAGCACAGGACATCACAGACTATTTCTCCATTCTGTTTTTCACTGAAGTTCACAGGGAAGAAAAGATTTGATGCTAATCTGAATTACTTCCCATTTCTAGGCCCAAAGCAGGAATTTTGGAAATCATTCGCTGCTTAGTCTTCGTAGGCGTGTACAAACTTGGCTACTTAAGGAGTCAGTTTTCCTCCTTGGGCTATGCATATGAGGTAAGATATTTATTTTGAAATGTATATGCTACTCTAGCTTTGTTATCTTTCTAGAAAAAGCAGAAACACTAAACATTTCTATTTTGCTTTCCTATTTTTTATTATACTATTTGGGTAGAATATCAACTTATTTCTTATCTCTCTATTTCTCATTTTTTATTATGAACTTGTAAGAAAACAGTTGGGGTTTTGCTGCAGAGATGCCAGTTTCCATTGAAAAAAGTCAGGAAAGTGTGTATTTACCATTTCTTGAAAAAAATAATGTATCAGTGGTCACATGCTTTGAAATGCATAATAGAAATGTGTTACTGAATTTGAATTTATTAGCTCACATTTTATGGGATATATCTTAAAATGCTTGGAGGCTGGAAGTCTCTTAAATATCAAACATTTTGTTCTCTGCTTACGCTGTACTTCAGAAACAGACTTTTAGCCATTGATAAAGGTAGGTTAATAGACTAAATAGACCTTTCGTCTGGTTAGGTATGGTTGCTGTTGTGTTCTTAGGATTTATTTTTATCCTGTTTGTGACTTGCTTTTAATCTGCTTTTCTTTTTTTTTTTTTCTTTTTTCTTTTTTTTTTTTTTTAAGTACGGTTGGTATTTCATAATAACTCTTTTTAATATAATCTGAGTTAAATAACACCAAATCATTAATTTGATTCTGGTTTGAATAACATTCCCAAGCTGCCTAGTTCTGGTTACCAGCAAAGACAGTTATCAGCAAGGTTATGAATGGGTTGCTAGATTAGTAGAACTATTACCATAAAGCTCCTTTTTGACTTAAAATTATTTAAAAAATGAAATAAAACAGTAGGAATTGAAACTCAAACCTAATTTTTTTTTTTTTTTCTGTTCTCTTTTTACCTGAGATAGGTAACAATAACTATTGGATAATATTTAAAGCTAGATAAATGCCACTAATCAAGAATTGGTTTGGTTTTTTCCCCCATATTGTTATATTGTCAAAACTTTTATGATCATAGAATAGTTTGGGTTGGAAGGGACCTTTAAAGGTCATCTAGTTCAACCCCCTGGCAGTGAGCAGGGACATCTTTGGCTAGATCATGTTGTTCAGGGCCCCATCTAACCTGACCTTGAATGTTTCCAGGGATGGGGCATTTATCACCTTTCTGGGCAACGTGTGCCAGGGTTTCACCACCCCCACTGTAAAAAATGCCTTCCTTGTGTCTAGTCTGAGTGTTTGTGATGAACTTCAAAGGGTCCCCCATTATTAATATAAAGGATCTATTTTTGCTCTCAGTGCATTGTACAATTTCTGGATTCAAGCTAGGAGTGTTCTTATGGATGGTAATATTGTTATAATAAGATTCATATTCTCAGTGTGGCTAGAATTTAACAAAGAATTCTGTCCCAGCGTTCTTGAGTAAGTTGTTCACATTGCAGCATATAAGCACGAGATTGATTTTGCCAACAGCATGTTGATTCATTAGTGTAAAAGTATGACTCCTGTCTATACAGTTTTTCTTCTGTGACTATGTTTCATATGTTCATGTTTCTCACTGATATTTTAGAATCAGTAGATAATATTTCATATTATCCTTGCAGTACTATTTGCAGGGTACTCTAACTAGCAAAAATAATTATTGTAAACTGCAAATGATTGCATTTGGCTACTAAGAAGTTTTGACAGTTATCAGAACTGCTGCATAGGAGAAGAGCCTTCTGAGTGACAACTAGAAGGAAAATACAGAAGAAATAAGAGAAAACTAGGGACACAGGGAGAGAAGAGAAAAGAGCAGAGGAAACAAGAAGCAAAGCTCTCCCATTTTGCCATTAAATTACCTCAGGTGGGTGTGAAAAAAGCAGCTAACAATTGCAATTGCAGCAGGAGGAGCAGTCCTGCCTTCTGGCTGCAGCCCCTTACCCTCACTAGCCCAGCTAATCACAGTTAGCCAGCTGGTCTGACAGCCAAGGATTTTTCTTCAGGTCAGTGATGCAACTTGCTATGGAGCAAGAAATGTCTGTAATGCTGAGGCTCGAGGAAGGTGGAAGTAAAATGAAGCTAGAGGTGTGTAAAAAAGACTGACTTCTGCTTTTGATGAAGCTGCATTCTTAATATTGTTGCTAACGGCGTCTACAGACACAGGCATTGGATGGCATTGGATCTATTGATATTTTGAAGTTGTGTGTTACCAGCCTTGGTTCTGTATGAAAATTATGTCTTTTTTTCTGATCATTTAAAGATGCTATCCTTCCTGCTATTGTGTTTGCAGTCCTTCCAAGATACACACATGAGGGATCTCTCCTAGTGTCCTTTCCTTCTCCAACTAAAACAATAATCTGAAGGTATCAGAGTTAGAGAGTGACCTTTTTTTCTTATGGGAAGTAAAGCAATGAATAATTCCCAGTATGTGTTTTGTGTTCCTTGTGCTGTATGTGTTGCATATGAATGATTAGGTGAAATGAGCTTGTGGGGGGTGTTTAGTTGTTTTGTTTTGGTTTTTTTTTGAAATGAAGAAAAGTGGTGATGTTTGTTTGAGGAAAATTTTTAGATCTTAAGAATACTGAGTGTTTGGTAGACATTACTGAAAACCTTGATGATAGTCGACGATATAGTTGAGTGGTTATAAACAGTAAATAGAGAAGTTAATGTGTTTCTGCTTGAAGATCTGTGCTGCCACATCCTATGCCAGTTAGTTTTCTTCAGGCTCATTACTTCATGTCTGTGCAATGTGATGATCATGTGTATTACTAAAGCCAAATTCTTTTATGTTGGACTGGGCCTGGAGTCTCCTAACCATTTGGAGGTGGCAGAAAATGTTGCTTGTGTGTTCAGTTCTGTGACAGTTCAACAGGCACAATATGTAAAAATAAATCTGTGATGATGGTGCACCTCCTCAAAATGTTTCCATCCAACTGCTCTGGTTTGGCATTGGCCAGCATATTCCATAAGCTGATTTTGGTCAAGTGTGAGCTGTTATTTGACAGTAGTACTAATGAGGAGCAAGTAAAAATGAGAGCCATTGACATATTGTTGGAATTCTGTCTTAAATATTTTCCCCAACTGTCATAGTGGCTGCAATGCAGTACTGAGACCCTTAAACTAAGGGCCTAGGAGTGAGGAAGCTGGAGGAGGAAATATAGATGTCTGTCTTGATGTGCTTGTTTATCTTTTACCTTTGTTTCAGCTAAGACTTTGTATCTGAGGGTAAACCTCTTTACCCAGACTACTCCTGCACTGCAACTTCCTGGGCTGCCTGGCTATGAAAGCATTGTCAGGCATGTATTAATTTACAAATATGAAGGACAAAAATCTAGGACAACTTTCACTGAGGAAAAAAGAGGTTGTATACACATGTGATATTTTAAAATAATAACTTGTGTTCTTTTCTGTGTGGGTATGTGGTGCATTAAAAATTTAACCAACTTTGGAAGATATATGAAATCTTCTGCTGCAGGGTTTAATTCAGACCTTAACTAATGCAGGCAGAAATGAACTTCCTTGTGGTCAACTTGTTCATTTACTCCTCCAGAGTATCTAAACTTGGTAGATGGAGCCATTCCAGACACTTATGGAGACAGTATTGTGTACCACATGGACTGCTTCTCTGATCTTTTATGCAATTCTGATGTTTCTTATGAGTGTTAGCTAATTTGTCTGGCTAAAATATATAATATCTCTTTATTAAAGAACTGATTTGCACTGTATTCTGCGTTCCATAGCAGTCCCTCTTAATGTGATATCTTCCCATACTATTCATTTCCCCTTTCATCGTACAGACTTGCTGTTACCTCACTTGTTTCTTAGTGTAATTTACCAGTGTTGGAATATTGACTTATGAATGCTGACTTAAACCAAACATTTACTCATAAGAACTTATTTCCACATCAACAGTAGTTTTTTGCTCTGTAGTGTTTTCCCTTGGTCCCTTGTTAGAATTATCTGTGCCATATTTAGAAGACCAGCATAACCTATAGTTGGTTTCCGTTAAGGTGAAAGCTCCGTGCCCTGTGCTATGATTTATGACCTCAGCATTTATGTAGTCTCTATGCCCTAACTAGATGGGCTGATGCATTTGAAATGTATTTTAGAAGTGAAGCTGGAGATGGAATGAAACTTTGCTGCCTTATGATAAAAAGCCTTGTCAACACACATGAAATTAAACAAACATGAGTTGTAATCCATATTTTCTATGTTAGCATCATTCAGCAGAGTCTGCTATACCATGCAGTGTATCCCAAGGACTGGACTTTTAATATTCTTGACAACTTCCCTAAAGGGAATAATGTCCCTTAGAAAAAGTCCCAGTAAAATCTGGCAGTAGATTAAGTTAGTTCCCACTTAGGTGTGACAGCAGCGTCATTACTGATTTTAGACTTAGCCGGTTTGAGAGTCAGCTTCACCACCATCAGCTAAAGAGTATGATGTATAGTTCCAGATGCTCTGGCCAATTGACCGTAAAATTGCTCCCCATTTCTGGCAGAGCAGCCAAGCTGGAGCTTTTAAAATCTCCACTCCCTGAGCTCAACACCCTCCCCCCTCTGCTTAAAAGCTGCTCATTACTCTTCTTCTGCCTGCTGATCTTAGCAAAAGAAAAACTTCTGGAATCAATTAGAAGTGTCTGCACTTGATGAGATTTGCACGTGAGTTTGGAATTGCGAGGCTTTGATAGTGTCAGCCAACAGCTGCAGTTTCAGGTGGTAAAATGAGGGAAGGAATTTTCCAGGGTTTACTTACAATCATAAAATAAAACAAAAATCAAGACAAGTTGGAAACCATCTGATGTGTCGTTAAAATGAAGCCTGAATTGGATTATATATTTATTTTGTCTGAAAAAAAGTAAACTGGTGGTTTATTTTCAGGATCTTTTCAATTACCTTGCAGTTATTAGGCTGTACAGAGCAGTTGTAATAAAATAGAAACTATCATCTGCTTGCTGTAGTTTTAACTATGAAAGAGGCATCTGCTATTACTTTTGTCACTTTAATTGTTTGACAAGACAAGGAGGTAGTCATATTTAATAGATATCAGAAGCA